AATGAGATAAGCAAACAAACAACTGTAAGTAAACAAATTAAGATTTTGGGAAACTCCGCCACATTTTAAAAAATTGACAACATATTGAGGTATGATTTAGTGGTTGAAAAGTTATTATGGTTAACCTATTGGCAATTTACATAAGCAAAATGGTTTACATAAGCAAAATGGGATCATCGTGAATAAATTGAAGTTGCATAGTTTTGCGTCTTTGCTTTTATGACTTCTTGAGGTTTGCTTTTATGACTTCTTTAGGTTTTTGTATCACACCGTTTAGCATTGAATCCTTTTTGAGTCAAACCAATTGAAAGCCAAAATAATTTGCAGCAGCGACAGCAACGATTGATTTAAAGTAAAATGTGACCAGTTTTGGTCGTATGGTAACCCACAACGAAAACCGAAATATTTTTATTATAAGCCTATAAAACTGCAATTTATAGAACTTATTTGAATTTCTACCTAAATACAGTGTTTAAATTAGTCATAGTTGTGTTAATTATTTTTTTGCTGGATTTGCTGCTATTTCAATTACACAATACACTTCCTAAATTTATTAATTTATGGTCGTAGAAAGTTATACAGAATATGAAAAGTATAAGTATCTAATATAAGTGTAATTATCCTACAAGAGAGCTTAGGAGGTTACCTTAGTAGCTTATTTCCTATAAATCCTCTTTCACTTTTTCACAACATATTTTTTTTTAAATACGGAAAATGATAAAATGTGTGACCATTTCTGCCCCAGCTAAATTTTCCTAAAATCAGTTTTTTGAGCATATGCTATTACTGTAAATCATTCTCTGGTTGGACACCAACAACATTTTTTCGGTTCTAATTAACCTTCTATAGATGAATGAGAATGAGGAGATAATATGTTCGCTTCACAATTGAGTCAACTTTTGTAAAAACATTAATTTTGTTCCTCTCTAAAAACACAGCTAAACGCGGAAATAAATGTTTATAAATCTATCAAAGATATTATTGAGAGTCTTAAGGTACCTACTCTGACTTCTTCAACATTAAAATAAACAGCAAATTAAAACGTTTTCACTTTATATTCGTAATGGTAAGCGTGTTTGTGCATTTAATTAATTGCTCTGTCAATTGGAAAAATATCAGGTAATAGTACACGTGTTACGTTGTAGTCACCAAATAAAACAAAATAAATTTTGTGCGGGCTGGCTGTGAAAAGATAAACCAAAATACTTAGTTAGTCTTAGTAGAACACGTGAGTCATGCATTTGAGGTAAACGGCCGAAGTACAAGTTTAGTTATAATCCCTAAATATTTATTAATATATTTATTTATAAAATATACATCATAGCAAGATAGTAGCTTTAAGGGAATATGGTTATAACATAACATGCTAACGAGGTGTGATTCTAACGTGTTTACAAGCTAAACGATTACCAGCMAATCACGTATGATATAACCAGATTCCCTTTGAGTGCTTTTAATACCTCTTTCCATGTTCTCTCTTGTACTCGCCACCGTACTTGGACCTAGTACCTACTAGATCTATGATTTCGGGAATGCTACTAGCAAAAATAGCCTGAAAATCATTCCCAAATGCGTTATTTCAACCTAATTACTGTTACTAGTCAAATAAGATTCAAGTGGGTGTCTGCAGACCAAAATCCTATACAACACTTAACGTGATTCACTTGTCCATAAAACCGATAACAATGCCTCTCTCAAATACAAACAAAAGTAATTTTTGTTTTCTGTTATATTTGGAACATTGGAAATGTCTGTTCCATGCAGAATTGATTTCGACTTTATATTATTATATTATTATAAATATTATTATTCCATTAATAAATTATATATCAGCTTTTGAATATTAGCTGCTAGCTAAAGCCCACTACCGACAAACCTAGAAATCTAAAGCATTATCTGCTGTGAACTGTGCAGTTCAATTGAGTTGGAAAAGGACGTTCTAGCGAATTGCTGATAAAACGCCTGGCAGTTTAGGGCGAAAAACTGACTTTTAAGTAAAAACACGTAAATATGTTAAGCGAGATAAAGTTCTGAGAGTTTCTTGTTCGCTTAGGAAGGCCAAACGATTAAAAGACCACACATTAAGATGTAAAGCTCTCGAGTTCCGGCACCGGACGGTTGGGTGCGACCTCATCTTGTTCATTTTAGTTTTTTATAAGAATTTCTCAAACATTTGCCTTATTAATCACCAAGCTCAAAGAGCGACTACACATTTACATATCTTCATTAAGATATTAATTGCTCTGTTAGACATAGACAAGATAAACTGCCAAATAATAGCAAACATTGTCTTTATAAGTAAAACAGATATAAATTATTTAAACTACAGCAACCACTTGTATAGTAAAATTTTGCAACGATTTACTAACCACAAATTCGATATGTCTACAGTTTCGACTGCTAATTCATAACGATTTATCAGTCCCTGTGTAGCAAAGGGACTTTACGAAACTTGAATTAGCTTGAATGCACATGAATGGTTTCAATAAGTGTCAAAACGATTTATTTTATGCACCACATTGGAAAACGATATAAAATTACGCAGTTGCATTTCATTAAAAGGTTGAGTCAATTTATGCAGTTTCATGGATTATCGTTAGCCATAATGTGTTCTGAAAAGCTAACCTCTCTAAGGCTGTTTTTTAGACAATCTTCACAGCAAACTCCAGAATTTTCTTTTTTATACATATTAAATTAACCGTTTTTAACGAATAAATAAAAACATTGCAAATTGTTAGTTGCACATCCTTCAGCTACTTTTTGAGTATCAGGCTTTAAACATTTGCACAATTGAGTGGATCATTGAGTGGATCATCACCAGACATTTCCGTTGCATACATTTGCATAGAGTGGATGAAAAAAAAATATTTTCTAATCTAATCAATGTTCTATCATATGGATATAATTTTTTTAAAATTTAAACTACAATAATTCTTTAATTTATATAAGTTGTAATGTCATGAGGTAAGTGTTTTTCTCCCCTTTTCAACGACATGTAATATGACCGAATGTCTTCAAACGAATCTTATTAATGTTTTAGGCAACATTAAATTGTAACTTACGCCATTGTAGGTGACTTAGATTATTTTAAGATTGTTTTCTCATCATAATGGTAAAATAAGCCAGCAGGTACAAATAGTAAAGGCCGTTAGAGGCAGTTTGGGCAAAGTATTCAAAAGCACAAATAGACAAGTTGCTTTTCTGTAGATGGCAATTCGCAGCACTTATAACATTTCTTCATATACTATGTAACAATAACTATAAATAATTAAAGACTTTTTTTTTTAATTTTATTTGATTTTGTATGTATACTGCATGATAATAAAAAAAAGTTAGATTATTTAACATTTCTATCAACAATGACTTCCATTTTATTCGATTATGATTCAGCTTAATTTAGTATTGGATCTTTACGTCTCAACCGTAATTTATATGTCAGTTCAATTAAAACTGAACTTCATCAATAAAACTTTTTCCTTAAGACATGAAATACATGTTTAAACAATTTTATTATAATGAATATTATACTTGGGTTCCAAATAAAGTGAGAAAAAATCCAAGTTCAAGTTATAAGTTTAATATGTATCTATCTGGAAATATTTATAATCTTTCAAGGAACTCTCTGACTTCTTAAGAATGTAGACTTAAATTTGACTTTCCTTTAATTTACAGAAAGAAAGAAGAGAGAGAGAGAGAGAGAGAGAGAGAAGAAAAACTGCAAAATTGGCGTTCCCTAAACAGTTATAAGTATTTTTATATTACGCATGTGTTCGCGCAGTACTTGACGTAAAAAATGTTCACTTTGAGTGCATGTTTCGACCAAAATTCCATAATTTAATTTCGACAACCAATCAATATATCAAACTAAATAATAGGGTTTTAGAGGAATTATTGCATTTATTCTCTAATTTAATAAATCAGAAAATATTTTCAGGTTTCATAAGAAAGTATACACACTAGAATCAAAAAGAATGCATTTTCCTCATAAGAGGCTTTGTTACACAACAGAACATATTTTGTTATTTTACAGAGTACCTTCGTAAAATTAAAACATTTGTTATTTTAGTGCATTAAAAAATTTAATTAGCTGAGAAAGTAATGGCAAAGAATGTGATATTAAAGAAATAATTTTATTTAGAGCATAGAGAGCAGTTCTGTGGTTTAAATTTGAACAATTTATGGCGTGCCATAAATATGATAAATAAAATACACAATTTCAGTGACTTACTTCGAGAGAAAGACATGTTAGGTCGCTTTTCGAATCAGTTGAATGATATATTCTTTTTTGGTCTGCATTGCCCTAGTAAGCAAAACTTATCAGGGTTATAATAAATCATAATCGAAAAAACTAGTAATGTGTTAAAGATATTGAACGGCTGTTGTAAGGAAGCAAGTAACAACACTCGAACACAGATAAGCTGATAAGCTACACAGCAGTGCAGAAATCGTTTATAGTACATGCTAAGTTTAATCTAAAGAATATATCGCAATCAATCAATTGGTATAAAAGAACACTATTAATTCACATACCTAAACTACGACTGCAATTATATTCTCTTGAAGGGTTTGTACTAATGAGTTTGGACTGGGAAAAGGAGTAGACGCTTTTGAGGGGGTTTCTTTAAATGAAGAAAGGAAGTGGTTTTGTTAATGCTAACCCAAAAACTTTTAGAAATCTTGCAACAGATATACTTATGAAGACAGTTATATAAAAATTAATGTTTCTATTACTTAGGACTCTTGTAGCCCTTAATTAATTTAGGTTCGATAATGTCTATTTCTCCTTTACAAGGTAAACTAAAGCAGCAGCATTAGCATAGCTATATTGATGTTTAAATATATCTTAATTTACCTTGCAATCTTAAGTACTAGAAGAAAAAATAATAATTGAACGTTTTGAAGAGCAAAGCTGTAAGCTCACGAGGCGACACAGCTCTCCCTTTCCGTTCCAGTAGAAGCCAAATAATATTATAGAAACAGGTAAAAACAATCGAACTTACCAAGCCGACGAGGAGGAAAAAGACCAAAAATGTGCGGCCTAATACAGTGTGACAGAAAACATCACCGTATCCCACAGTAGACATGGTCACTATCAAGAAGTATACGCAGGTCCAGTAAGGCAACGGGTGAGGATTATCAAAGTCCAGCGGGTCTCCTGAATTTTCCAGCTAGAAGAAAATTAAAAGAAAATAAACAGTAACAAATTAAGGTGAACAACGAAGGAATTTGATTTCGAACTATGTGCTGTTTTAGCTTATAGTTTATATACAAGGTATTCCATGAAATAAAGTCGTGAATTATTATAAGTAGTATTAAGCCCAAATAGAGAATGCCTCAAAGTGAACGGTTTTCATCATTCAGAGAACTAAATTGTTATATAGGATTTATAATAAATGGTACCTACAATTCGAACACATTCAGTCTCACACAAATATGCTCAATGGTTACGAAAACCTTTATTTTGTAAATAAATACATACCTACAAAGACATAAAGTGCAGACAGATCAAAACAGAAGCAAACACCTACGACAGCGGGAAAACTTTTCATGCATTAAGTAGATACGCAAATTTGACAATTCCAAAATATACGGCACATTAACATTTAATTAACAACACTGAAACTTGTATTAGTTATTGAAAATATTTCTTGATATTGAGGTGCAGCCTTCTTTCGTATTATTCTTAGAAGGATCATTCCATGCACTAGTAACTCAGCTTCTTTTCCCAACGTACACTTGAGTTAAATGAGAAAAAGAGTTAAATATTCTTATGGAAAATCTGATTATCTCCTGTGACACTAGCCATTGCTCATTATCCCATTATATCATGATCTTCACATCCCTTCATTGCCATGCCCATCTCATCATCCCATCAGATTTCTGAATCCAAATTTTTCTTCTTACCGCCTATTGTTCATATTTCAATCAATTTTCAACACAAATTCAATTTTTGTCTGTCGAATCATCAGGACGACTCACTTCTTACACTATTTCCATTAAATACGGTTTTTCTTCTCGGAAGTCACTCAGATGCATCAAATCTTCGTCAGCCCATTCAGCCATGACTTTGGCCGAAAGAAAAATTTGCGTCTTTCTTAGACACTAACTTCTTTTCTGAGCAATCTTTTTCGATATGTACGTAACTGTTCACTTTGGGTTCAAATTTTGTTATTCTATTATCAAAATGACACTTTCGAAAGTATTTGAAGAAACTCGCATAACTACATTAATCGAGGAAGGATGGACAACAAAAACAGTAACTGAGATATTTGGAAAACCTAAGAGCACGATTTATTAAATTGTAAAGAAATAATCTTAAAATTAAAACAAGTTTGTGACTTATATTGTATGTATATTTGACGTATTTCACATTTCGCCTTTAGGGGTCGTCTTCTTTGATGTGTCGCCAACTATACATAGCTTTTGTCAAGAATAACAAGCATTTGTAAAATTGTGACTTACTTTTAAGCTTCATTCACGAAAGGTACACCAATATCGAATATTCGGATATGCTATTAGTTATGGGGGAATGCCACATTAACATAGCAGAAGCTGTAACAACTTACAACAACAAAGCGTTAGCGACACTGGAAGATTGGCTCCAGGAATATAGAATTTGGAGTACCAGGTATTTCCAGTTCCAGGAGTTCTGGAGATAATTGCAGCGCAGCCTTCCAGGGGTGCTCAGAGCATTGCACAACAACAGACACTTTCTCAGGCACCAAATAAATAGTAAAGAAGGGATACATTCCTACCACGTATGTAAAATGCTCAGAACACACGGACACATTAAAGCAATAGTTCACTAAACGCCGGTACAAATTGAGCAGGACTTAATTAACCGAATAAGAAGAGAAGCTGCTTGAGAATAGTGCACAATGAGGTGATTACACAGGCGGTAACTTGTTTAGAGTTAAAGACATACATTTTTATTTGTATACACGCGCATACGTGCTGTATGAAAAAATTTTAATTCCCTGTTCGATAATTCGATTATATCGACACCCCGAATAAGTTATTCGCAGAGTCAGAGGTACCCCCAATAAGTCGTGGTATAATACAGGTGCTGTCTAAAAACACAGCGCATATTCGAGAATTATAAGTAAACTAATGTATGATTACGATTATTAATAAGAAAACGAATTGTTTTCTGGGCTGTATATAGAATAATTGCAGTAATCTAGAACTTAGAGCAATGAGGTCAACATCTTTATCAAATTAAAACATAAAAAATATGCGATTATATTAAACTTTGTTCTTTGCCTATTTTTACCAGAGTGTACTTACCAAGTAAAAGTTTTAAATGTCTACTTACCAAGTGAATGATTCCAGCAGCGGTAAGCCATACCGATATAAATATAGAAACTAGCTGAGCAAGACGAATGGAACTGGAAGTCTTTAAAATATTGAGGTATTGTAAAATATCTGGTACAGTCATAAGGCGTAGAGCACGAAGAAATCGGAGACCTAAAACGAATAAATATATCATTAGAAACGTAAACGCTATTGCTTGAAATAAGCAGAACTTTAATTATAAGACGCGAAACATGCAGAACCCATTGCGTCTGCCCCGTGTAATATTTGCGAATTTTTACAGAATTTTTATTGTAAGAAACCACGAGTTGTGAGGTTTAAAGCGATTCAAAGTTAAACCGACTGCCAAATTTTACGAAGAAAAAAATTATGCGACTGATTGGCACTATTAAGGTTAGTAAATTTATTTGTCCCAGGCTGCTCGATATTATTATGAATGTGTCTAGTGACTGTGCCCATGATCATAAGAACTAAGTATTTAACATAGAAAAGCCATTAGGTACGTTTCCCGTTAAAACAGAATTTAATTAATTAAATTTTCTGAAGATAAGTTTTTTGTAAACTTTAGTAATGCGTTAGATAAGGTTTTAAAGAATATTAGGATTGATTTGTATTTGAAATAAAACAGTTATAGCAAACAAAATTTTCAAATTAACCACTGTACGATATTTAGGACCGCCGCTCACTAGAAAATTATCATAATTCCTTCTCATTATTTACTTGACATGAATAAACATCCTAACATTTAACTAGACACATTCATAATGAGTCTAATATTAAACAGTCGAGGATAAAACATCAGTGGTAAATTATTTTGTTTCTTCTAGCTGTTCTAAATACCAATACCAACTATTATGTCTCCAAATCTTAACGCGTTACTACAACGAACCAATGAATTACCGGTACCTTACTTTTGCTTTTGAAAGTATCGTAGCTTTTCATTGCAATGAATAATAATAAACAGGAAATAATTTTTTACTTAACTTTACGATTATTAGGTAATGTTTACATGTGAAAATGGAAAAAAACAGTTTACTGCTTAGAACAACTATTCTAGTGTCCGCGGAACCTTAAAAGAACTTGAGAGACTTTACACAAATAAACTTCGGTTGACTATTTTTGGCGTCACTTTACTTAACGAACAAACAAGACGATATTTATTTATATCAAAAGCTCAAATAATTGAACTAAGTAAAACATTCAAAGGCGTTGAAAGAAACAAAATGCATCTAGTAGATCAGGCCTGCATTGTTATGCGTTACATCAATGCAGTTTATAATTCCACCTAGTTCTCTAAATACTTTTGGCAGACATAATTAACAGGAACTGAATTAAATACTTCTTAAAGTAGACATCTAGTAGCAAGTTTAATATACATACCTATCCAAGTCCGATCCAGATATATTGAAACAAAGGACGGGGGTATCGTAAAATAGTCTACGAATGAATACATTTCCAACATGAACCATAACTTATCACTAGCAGCTATAAACTGAAATAAAAAATTGACGGATTCAGTATTTTTGTTCAAATTCAAAAGTTTTAATTAATTAGAATTGAAAAATGTAATTGAAAACATGAACTAAATATGTATCATCAATTCCAACCATTTCAAACGTAGATGCGTTTTTAGAGTTTGGCTCATTCTATCATGTATTTTAAAACGTTTTAAAATTATAATAATGTTTTTGAATCTCTTTTCAAAATCAATTTTTATATTTAATGACAAAAGTTTTAAGAAAATTAAGTTTCAAATTTACTGTCAATATGTTAAATTTCACATTGAACAGAATGAAAAAGTTAATATTTAAAATTTGCGGTAATGAATGTTTTAGGAAACAAAATTAAAACTATTTACTGAATAAATCAAGAGGTTTAACATACCATTTGAACAATTTAGACGTTTTTTAGCCGCGGCACGTTATCAAAAATGTATTATGGATGAAGTAGAGAATATTGCACATTCGATCATATCTAGATATATCTATATTTTATATACATATTATTGCATTGTATTTTCCAGAATAAGCATTCAGTATGAGTAGGTACTCTTCGACAACACCTCCAGAGAACCGATGCTAATTTTATTCATCCGCCTAATCTTAAAATCATCCCATATATTTAAAAATATAGATTAGTTCAACGTACGAAAAAATCGATATGAAATGTTATTTGTAACTGAAAAATTAAAAAAATTCTATGCCAGCACTGTTCGAAAGAACATCTCAACCAATTGATGCACATAGTGTAAGTTAAGTAGCCCCGTTTTACTAACTAATGAGCATGTAACAAAGTTTATCAAATTTTATTTAAAAGTAAATTTGGAGTTTTTCTTCAATCTAAATGTTTCTGGAAAAAAAATATTTTGTAAAAGTAAATACCTTAAGAAGAGAAAATTAAACGGGATTAGTTTCAAAAGTAGAGCTAAAGACGACTTATTTTCATCATCAAAATCCAGACAGACTCATCCCTGCTGCTGCAAAAATTAATGCTATTGTTGCACTCTTAAATAAGTAAGTTCGCGTGGATGGATAAAAAAGAAAAGTACACAAAACGCGTACAAATTTGTTTTAACATGATATGATAACAGATATAAATTAGTGGAAAATCAGAAATCGTGCCACTGAATTGCTCTCACTGAAGTATTAGTAAACGCAAAATATTGCGTGTATTTCTCTGCTTTCTTAAACTTATAAGATGGAATGAAAATGTTAAACATTCGAAGAGCAAAAGTAATTGCTGGTCTTGACAAAATTGAGAAGAAAACAATGTTCAAACCGCTGTTTTTAAGAATCATTCATTTATTATTCACTTTATTGATGATCACACCAAGTGAGATATAAAAATTTAAGTTACAATTAACTCCACTCCACCAATACACTCCACATTTACAAACTCTGCAGACCCTAAAAAAATACACACCAATTGAACGCAAGCATAATATATCCATAATGACAAATTTGCAAATATAACATAAGACTTACAATATGCCAGGATAAGAAATTATAATTGATTCGGTGAAATCACTGAAAAATCGATATTGGAAAAATTACTGACATATTTTGTTCACATCATTTTCTTGATAAGTATTTTCCATTCTCCAACAGTAAAAATAAAGTACGTTTTATAAGCATTGAATTAAGCCGAGTGTCTTGTAACATAAAAACGGTTTTCTCTCATTATAGCTAAACCGCTAAACATCGAAACATCCCATTTAAGTAACATGCATGTTTTATTCGACAAATTTATTTTAATTATGTTTATTAACTGAACACCACATGTTAGTAAAACCCTACATAAATATTTCTTTATCTACTGCAGGTATAATGTAGAACATTAGAACACGCTAATGTGTTTATTCACATTTTTGTAATGATGCGAGTTACTGTTTATTCATAGCAGAGGTTAATTTATCTACAATTAGACTATGGTCAAATTTATAAGCAAGTTATTTTAAAGTTATAGGACATCGAAAGAGATTCAGCTAAAATATGTATAGCTATTTTTACTTTTACCACAGCTAGTGATTTCCATATTTTGATAGATAGGTTTTTGGTCTAGAATTTGCCATTTTATATTAAATCAAATATATCGATTGTCAGAAAATCAGATTTTATCATTTTTACAATCCAATAGCATCTCGTCCTATCATTCATTTATTCTCAGAGGACATCAATTAATCGTGAGTAACACTGTGTTGTGTGGCACTTTTGTGTTGAGGCCGCTCTGTGCACCAATGCGTTATAACACATCGCATATTCGGTGTACCACCTTGAATAACTCTTATCTCATAATCTCATTCAAAATGGCGCAAATGAAAGCTATGATAATTTCAACGATTTTCGACACTTGTTAAATCATTCAAATATTCGGTTCTTTTCTCCGAAAATTCGCTTGTGAAACAACTATGCCTGACAAGAAGAAAATATTTTACTACTTTATTTATTACAATGATTAAAACAACGCAACTGGCGTGTGCCATAGTCTCTATTCAGTAAAACCTAAGAAAAAGGGATTGAACGAGCTCTACCGCTTAAAAGCCCATGACGAATAGATTTTTAAGCTGGAGCTGAATTAATAACACAGAACTAGCGATGTAACAAAATTTCAAAAAAAAGCAAGTACCATCTCCGTAGCATTGATATTCATGATTTCTTTGTTACTATTTATTTGTATTATTTTTAAATTTAAGTTAGTAAATATTAGTAAATCAAAATATCATATTTATTTTATTCATTATAAGGATAGATAATATAAATGAAACATGTATTCGTTAATGCATTTTGCTTAGTATTCATAATATTTTGTTTTGTAGTATCTGTAAACTTGCATCTATCAACTGGGACCTCCCTGTAGAGATAACTCGAGCTAACTGCAAACTGTCTAGGTAAAGTCAAATATAAAATATATTTACAAAACTCGAAAGTTATTACTTACGAAAGATCAATACATTTTAACATAAATATGCAAGTTTGTATGTGACATTTCAATTATAAAATACCTCGAAGAAAATCTGTTGTTACAGCTAATTTCGCTCAAAATAATGCCCCACATTAAAACCTTAATTAACAGATTTAGATTTAACAAAATGGTTAATTATGTGAAGTGTATTTATTATCGTGCTTGGATAAATATACTTTGGAAACTTTATTGAAGCTCACAGCGGTTGATGTGGATTAATTAAGGCATCAATCACAAAGTACGTTTATTTATAAAGTCAGTTTCAACGCAACTAAATTTGTAGAAATCAGCTTTATAAGACGTCCACTTCATCACAATTCACTTGAAACTTGAAAATTATTGATACGTCACAAGAGAACAATAAAGTTAATACTAGTTGAAATCAGTTTTTAAAATATCTGACAGGGAGCAATTCGTCCTAGTTAAATTTAAAATTCAAGGCTTTCTTGGCGATTGCTTGATGCTAGGGATTTTCGGGCTTTAGAACGCTGGGAAAAATATTTCTTTTGCATTCAGTTCAGCAGCTTTTGAACAAAACGCTTCTGAGGATACAAGCTCCTTGTGCTTGCGAAACGTCAAGAAGGACTTAGTTTCCACAACGACCTAAAAGCCCGAAAGCACTCCACTTTCACCCTGAATTTATTCACAATTATAGATGGTGAATCAAAGTTGGTCTCATTTCTCTGGAGATGTTGCTTAGAGTACATAAGCATTCAAAAATATATATATCTTTTAACTAAGTTATTCGTCAGCAAGAAAGGGATAAATGTGGCAAAAATGTTTTTGATTTACGCCTAGAAACGATGTTTTTCTTGTAAATGTTGCGTTCATTATATGACAGTCATTAACGCTGCTTATATATGTTATTACAGATCTGTTGAAGTTCGCTGCATAACTTCATTTCACAACATAGGTTTCCAATGTTCACAAGAATGTGAATGAAGAAAGCTGAAAAGCGGTAGAAAGTTGCCTTTCTTCCACTCATTCAATTTTTCGGATAGAAAAATTCCTGAATTTAGCAAGGTTATTATGATTTATTTGTCCCTCAGTTTCTAAACAACAGCTTTCTTCATAAACGACCTATGAGTAAAACGCCTGCAATATAGCCATATTTATTCCCTCTTCATTTATTTCCGTGTGAACATTGTAAACCAAAAATCTACCTAAAAACCTGCAATATTTAGAGAATATTTCCACTGTTTAGCAATTTTCTAGTACCTAATTTTTCTGATTTTTTTGCAATTGAGCAAGCCAGCTTTGATCGAATTTCTGACCCTGTTATTATCAAGCACACAGGCAAAATTATTCACAACGCGTTTCGTGTTATTTTCCATTTTTATTTCAGCTTTTAATCTTGCGGTGTATTGTTTTATTTACCAACTGTTTTTAATTTTTGCAATTTACTTCGGTAGTAATTAAAATAATGCAATCTGAATCTTCACGTTTAAAGTCCGTCTTGATGAATTTGTAGGTTGAGTTTCCTATTCCTATTGTAAAACTGGATTACCACTTAATTATAATTTGTCACATTCAAATCATTGCAATTCAAATATAAAGAAAACATCTACTTTTCATGAAAAAAGCTACATTTTAAATTTCGGTAATTATTCTACATTTTAATTATCTAATTTAAACAAAGAAATTATGTTCAAGAAATCAAGGTTTTGACGTATCCTCTGGAAACTCATGTTTCACTATACATATTTAATACTTACTATGACTACCGTGATACTTACTCGTATAAAAAAATATACCATAAAAAATATGTTGAAGGCAAGATCTATCTGTTGCGTGATGTTTTTACTCCACTCCTCACAATGTTCTACACCTTCACTGTAAAAGAGGGCAATTAATTAGACCTTCCGGTTTACAGCATTATTTAAAAAATTACCAAGATACTGAGAATATTTTCGAAATTGTCATGTGTAAACGTGCAATACATAACAGCTTCGTGTACATAACAGTATCGTGTACATATATACAAACACGTACGTTGAAATCTTACTTTGTGCATGTGTTCCGAATGCACCTCAGATGTAGTAAACTTCATTTAACGAAAATTTAGTCTAATTGAAAATTGTACAATGTTTGGTTCTTGGTTGATACTTATTTGATTCACTTAGTTGATGTAATATTTGTGTAGTTGCAAGTTGGTTAGATTTCAGCATTAGTAAAGCAAACAAATTAAAGCACAGTTAGAACAATTCGCTAAGTTCAAATCTCGAACAACATCAAAAAAATAAAAACAACGGAAAAATATTACTCTGATTAGTACAGATTTGCCCCATTTTCCGGTCAAATACTTATCTGCATGTCCGACAATTAGTAATAAAAAATATTTACCCAGCATGGTAACTAAAAAATAAAAAAGAAATTATTTACAAAAATTCTCATTATGTTAGCACATGTATAACAAATAGAAGTACATGTTCTGAACTTTCGAAATTTTCTTTCGATCGTCAATAAATAGTATATTGAGCATTAGTTTTCACGTTACAAAATAACAGTTATTTAATACTTACTAAGATGCGTCTATGAAGTAAATTACCAAAGATGCGATGCTGAGAATAAACACCAACACAACCTGGAAGAAATAAAATTTAAATTAAAGGGTGTAATTAACACCCGAATATCATTGGACCTGTACAATGGAGCTGTAATTATGCAAATTTTCTGATTCTAATTAGAGAGGGTGAGAACCAATAACATGCTAATATAGCATGTTATTGGCGTTCCTGGAAACGCGGGCGCTATTTATCATTCAGGGAAAATTGAATCTTTGAGGATTATTAATTTTTAGTCAATCTTTTATATATGTACTGTAAATTTGTCTAGATAAATATATTACCGATATTGCTAACTTTTAACTCAATGATATTTGTTGGCTTTATTCTCTGTTTTTTGGGCGATATGAAATATCGCTTCTTTAATTCTGATTGCGCATAATCCAGAAAAAAAATATTTTGCAAGAGACAAAGACAAAAAACGGGCATTACACGATGCTGTTACCAGATGAGAAAGAATAAAATATAGAAATAATATATAATACATTTTCAAAAAATACTTTGCAAGTTTTTGTTTTGGAGTCATTTTCAGTATGACGTGGTATTTGATAGACCATTCCAAACATGTGTTTCTGTTTTTGATGCAATTTTTTTTTAAACATGTAAGTATATATTTACATATTGTATAATGTCCGTTTTGCAACACAAAAATATCAAGTCGGAGATTGAAGACGGCATTGATAGAAAACACCTTTTCAAAAAGCGCCTTTTATCAACTTAGTTTTGGTATAAAAAATTACAAAACTGGAGTGAAGATTTGCCCCATTCCATGTGCCTAAAAGTTGAAAATCTTATATCTCGAATTGGCAAAAATAGCCGAGCGGTTGTAAAGTCTTTTCTAAACCTCCTCTCGCGATCCAGTTAGATTATGTAGGAAATATAGAACCTCCAAAAAGGTAGAAGCAAAGACGTAATTTTTTTGGGGCACCCAAAGTTTATAATTTCTCAGAAAGGTTCGAAAGATACAACCAGCCACCCTTATGATACTGTAATGGAAATGGCCTGGGGTACTCACGTTTGGAATGGGGGATCGAAATTCATGGTATTTCAGTAAATGGGAGACCCATTTGGGCCCCATTTACTGTCAAATATGACACTGACAAGCGGGAAGTTTCGCACCTGTTCTGGAGATTTCGAGAACTATCTGGGATACCTGG